CCCCCCCCCCCAAAAAAAAAAAAAAAAAAAAAAGCCACAAAATATTTTGTTGGTAAAAATCATAACTCATGCAAGTGTAAGATTAGAGCTTCAAATTGCTAGTGATAAATACAAATAACAATTATATAATAATTTATATATGCAGCTGAAGTGAACTGCATGTGGTCCTCTGCTACTGAACCATTTTGAACAGTAAATGCAAACTGTTTCAGTAGCCATATCCATTAAAATTAAAATTATTATCACTGGTAACAGTATTGTGACACTTTCTACAAAGTACATTAAAGAGGCCATACTGTCTTAATTATTTACGTGATTTTAGTGACTATTAGTCAATATAACTATTTCATGTGGTAATATTTTGGCAGTTTTGCAGTAGCCCTCCCCCACAACTCTGTGATATTCAATATCTTTTCTGAATCAATTTGTGTGGTGACTTTGAGTAATGTCTCAGCTACAAATTAATTAGTTTGGCAATTAATTTACTAATTTCAAGATGATTTTTACCTCAAACTTTATGCCTTCCATGAGAGTCGAGTTTATCACTGGGGTGAAAATATACTGTATTTCATTAGTCAAAGAACTTGAAAGTTTATTTCAAAAAGATAAAAAATAAGTTTAAGTTAGTAAACGTCCAAACTAATTTCTTTGAATAGCAGAGACATTGATCATTCACAGTAACCACGAATTAATTTTGATGAACTTTAAAAATGAGAGAGTTACAGGATGGGTGGGTGAATACTGCAAAAGTACCAATATTTTTCACACATGTCGCTACCGACACCACGTTCTTATTTCTTTCTTGAAACTCAAAAATTATGTTGTGAACTCTGTACCCTGCCTAATGACCGCCGCAGTTCCTTATGCTCCTGGGTAAAAAGTTGCGCTGTGTCAGGTTCTTTCGCCTCGTTTACCGCAGCATGTGCACTGAATCTTCTGCCATGTTCAATTATTGGTAACCTATTCCTTATTGCAGAAAAACAACTTCGACAAACTGAAAACATTTTTTTTGTTTTTTTGTTGAGAAAGAAAATGGCTACCGATTGCACACGATAAGTACACAAGACAATCTACTAAAACAAATCCATAATAACTAAGATTGACTGGATTAATGTTCCATTTAATAACTTTATCTTTTTATTTATATGGATGCAATATGATATATAATGAAGGAAAACAAATATCTTTGCTAAAGTCGGCAACTTAATATTATTATTTTTATACATTATCGATGGTCACTCGTTTTTGTATTCAACTTCCGGTCGTATCGTCTTGGTGTAATTTGCGTCGTCTAATACGTGACAAACGTAGAAAGCCTCCCAGAAACGTGGTTAATTTTTGGTAAACTGAGGTCACACAGCAGCTTTGTTCAATTTAGACCCAAATGCAGTTTTGGAAGTGGTAAGTGAATGTTTAATAATTATTATATTTTTTAATGCACAGTATGTAAGTAAAATGTGATATAGCTAGACTATTGTTAGGTATATCAGAAAAATTTTCAAACTGATCAGAAAATTAAAATACTTATATCATCTGAAAGGTAATGCAAAAACCGGATGAAATCATTTGGAATTTTTTAAATATTCCTACAAGCAACAAAGATATTGAAGTTTTTTAACTGCAAAAATCCACCAAAAGTGTCCACACTTCTCAGCTCNAATGTTTGAAAAATGAAGGTTTCAGAAAGTTACAGGGTGGGGGGTATGCTGCAAAAGTACCGAATGTCCTATCTTTGCTGTCGATTAGGTACGTTTTTAGTTCTTTCATTGAAAAGTCATCAGGTACTTCTGCTAAATTTCTATTCCAACTGCTCGCATGAATGTGTTTTCGAAAAAAATCAGGTGTTAACATGTTACGAAACTTTGAAAATTCTGATTGAAATGAGCACTCCTCGATATGGCGTCCGTCGTGTACACTCCACACTTTCCCCCTGAAACTTCAAATCCCGCAAAATCACGCGTTCCCACGGATAATTTAGCGGAAGTCACGTGACCGTGGAAAAGCCTCTATTAATTTACTAATTTCAAGATGATTTTTACCTCAAACTTTATGTCTCCCAAATATCATGAGAGTCGAGTTTATCACTGGGGTGAAATATACTGTATTTCATTAGTCAAAGAACTTGAAAGTTTATTTAAAAAAGATAAAAAATAAGTTTAAGTTAGTAAACGTCCAAACTAATATTTTTGAATAGCAGAGACATTGATCATTCACAGTAACCACGACTTAATTTTGATGAACTTTAAAAATGAGAGAGAGTTACAGGGTGGGTGGGTGGGTGAATACTGCAAAAGTACCAATATTTTTCACACATGACGCTACCGACACCACGTTCTTATTTCTTTCTTGAAACTCAAAAATTATGTTGTGAACTCTGTACCCTGCCTAATGACCGCCGCAGTTCCTTATGCTCCTGGGTGAAAAGTTGCGCTGTGTCAGGTTCTTTCGCCTCGTTTACCGCAGCATGTGCACTGAATCCTCTGCCATGTTCAATTATTGTTAACCTATTCCTTATTGCAGAAAAACAACTTCGACAAACTGACAACATTTTTTTGTTTTTTGTTTAGAAAGAAAAATGGCTACCGATTGCACACGATAAGTACACAAGACAATCTACCAAAACAAATTCATAATAACTAAGATTGACTGGATTAATGTTCCATTTAATAACTTTATCTTTTTATTTATTTGGATGCAATATGATATATAATGAAGGAAAACAAATATCTTTGCTAAAGTCGGCAACTTGATATTATTATTATACATATTATCGATGGTCACTCATTTTTGTATTCAACTTCCGGTCGTATCGTCTTGGTGTAATTTGCGTCGTCTAATACGTGACAAATGTAGAAAGCCTCCCAGAAACGTGGTTAATTTTTGGTAAACTGAGGTCACACAGCAGCTTTGTTCAATTTAGACCCAAATGCAGTTTTGGAAGTGGTAAGTGAATGTTTTAATAATTATTATATTTTTCAGTGCACAGTATGTAAGTAAAATGTGATATAGCTACTATTTTAAATATCAAAATCATAGCTTTAATATTCTTAATTTCATTTTTCTTGACCGATTTTTCTTTCATAGTTATTATCATATGTGAGGAACGATCATATTTAAATTTGCAATACAGTGCAACACAGCATAATATGCTAGAGACTTTTTCTCTGAAACTTACTTCATACAAGATTTAGATATAGCACAGGAAATGGTCATTAGTAAGAAAATGGGGTGATATAAATGCTTAATATATCACTAAGTAATTAATATCGTTATATGAGTTGTCAGATCATCCACCATATTGGACAGTCAAGCAGAGCCACTAACGATATCAATTTCTTAGTAATGAGTCGGTGATGTTTACCACTGGCTAGACTGCTAATTGCAATAATAATTGGACCTGGCCAGTGAAATTTCTGAAAAACAATCACAGGCCAGGGTCCCGATTTTTTTTTCAGCTGTGACATGTAGTCTAATTTCTTTTCTAAATGTTCAGGCTAAATATTGAATTGAAGTCATTTTTTTTTTTTTTTTTTTTTTTAGCAACCTTTTGAAACCCCCAATGTTTTTGTTCTTATTAATAGGAAACATGTTTACTGTAATCTCAATATGTAAATAATAGTAATTTTTTTTTTTTTTTTTTTTTGAAAAGTGGACTTCTGCCAGAAAATTTTTAATTGGACCAGTAGATACTCCGACCCTGGTGGTCTGGTTGGCATGTAACAGGGGCGGATTTAGGCCGTCTTCTGGGTCTTCCAGAAGACGGTCAGATTTTCAAGTTTACATTGACGGGTATCCATGTTTTCATGTTGGAAGACGGTCAAAATTAGAGGGTGAATCAACAAAGATAATTTGGAAGACTGTTAGAAAATTACTCTGGATCCGCCCCTGTGTAAGTTGAAAAGTACTGTATATACTAGTATTTGACACAGCCTGACATTTTCTTGCAAATGGCTGTTTCCTGTGTTCAGTTAAGTCTGGAGGCCATTTTCTCTTGTGCAGGTTGTTTCCCCGTGCTGTCTTGTGGTGCATTTTAGGGACCATTCCCACATGTATTTGGATCGATCTATCTCTCTGGGGAGTCTCACTAAATTGCTATCAACTTAACCGGCTTAAATGTCTGGCACGCCTAGTAAAGCTGTTATGGGGTTATTATCTTTAGCCCCTAGCTGTTTTGGTAGGTGTGACAGAAAAGGGAAATTAAGCCGGTTATGTTTATGAGCACAGCAGACTCAGATATATCAAAACTGGAAGAAGGTGATTATAAGCCTTTGAACTTGAATAATTTGAACTATGATCATGTGTTTTCCCTAGTTGCCCCCTTTGCTAAGATTTTGAATATAACAGCAGTGTTTGACCTTCGTTTGAATTAGCACAGGCCAATTTGGCCAGTGAGTTTTGCAAGTTACAGGCCAAACTGAAAATGTATAAGCCAGACTTTGGCCTGTTTTATTGAGAAGTTACCAGCCAAATATTCAAAGTGCAGGCCATGTGGTAATGACTGATGGTTGAGATGTTATCAGGTACCAATGCTGCATAGTTAGTCATACATCACATGCAAATAAAGATAAAATTAAAAACTGTTTTGACCAATCGTTTTACTCATTTTAGGCTCTGATTTTGATGAAATTTTCAGGAACTGTCAGAAGTGGGCCAAGGAACAGATGATAAGTTTTTGGTGGTGATCCAGATCAATAATCAATAATAATACAGGGGCGGTTTACATTGACGGGTATCTGATTTTTTCTGTCGGAAGACTGTCAAAAATGGAGGATGGATCAACAAAAATAATTTGGAAGACTGGCAGAAATATGTCTGGATCCGCCCCTGTAATAAAAAAAAATGCTGCTTTGGCGGAGGTCTGCGCTCTCGGAGTGCTTTTCTAGTTTAATATGGATTAATCTGGGTTAGCTCCTATGTAGATCTTATTAAAAGCTTACATGAATCACACATATTAACTTGAAGATTGAGCTTTTTATTTTTATTTTTTAACATTAAAATCTGGGAAGTTTATGAATAAATGTGATAATTTTGATAGCATTATTCAAATTGTCTTAACTACGATAACAGTAATTTTCCCTATCACACTTATATGTAACCTTGACCTTACTTTAATTATTTTATTTTAGTGTCTTTAATGTTCTGTTCAAAATTTATGTTCACCATACAGTATCCTCTAAATCCACTGTAAATGGTATCCCAAAAAAGTAAATGGCCCCTGAGACCATATCACATGATTTTTTTCTGATCTCTTATTCCATGTACATCTTAAAAATCTGTGAAAAATATCAATCCATCTTATATTTTCCTAAACATTTAAAGAATTTCCAAGATAATGAATCTTGTACTTTTCAAAATCAGCCATTTGTCTTAATCCTNGGATTGGATCTACCTACTATTGTACTATTTTAAATATCAAAATCATAGCTTTAATATTCTTAATTTCATTTTTCTTGACCGATTTTTCTTTCATAGTTATTATCATATGTGAGGAACGATCATACTTAAATTTGCAATACAGTGCAACACAGCATAATATGCTAGAGACTTTTTCTCTGAAACTTACTTCATACAAGATTTAGATATAGCACAGGAAATGGTCATTAGTAAGAAAATGGGATGATATAAATGCTTAATATATCACTAAGTAATTAATATCGTTATATGAGTTGTCAGATCATCCACCATATTGGACAGTCAAGCAGAGCCACTAACGATATCAATTTCTTAGTAATGAGTCTGTAATGTTTACCACTGGCTAGACTGCTAATTGCAATAAAAATTGGACCTGGCCAGTGAAATTTCTGAAAAACAATCACAGGCCAGGGTCCCAATTTTTTTCAGCTGTGACATGTAGTCTAATTTCTTTTCTAAATGTTCAGGCTATAAATATTGAATTGAAGTCTTTTTTTTTTTTTTTTAGCAACCTTTTGAAACCCCCAATGTTTTTGTTCTTATTAATAGGAGACATGTTCACTGTAATCTCATTATGTAAATAAGAGTAATTATTTTTTCTTTGAAAAATGGACTTGTGCCAGAAAATTTTAAATTGGACCAGTAGATACTCAGACCCCGGTGGTCCGGTTGGCATGTAACAAGGGTGGATTTAGGCCGTCTTCTGGGTCTTCCGGAAGACGGTCATATTTTCAAGTTTACATTGACGGGTATCCATGTTTTCATGTTGGAAGATGGTCAAAATTAGAGGGTGAATCAACAGAGAAAATTTGGAAGACTGTTAGAAAATAACTCTGGGTCCGCCCCTGTGTAAGTTGAAAAGTACTGTATATACTGGTATTTGACACAGCTTGCCATTTTCTTGCAAATGGCTGTTTCCTGTGTTCAGTTAAGTCTGGAGGCCATTTTCTCTTGTGCAGGTTGTTTCCCCATGCTGTCTTGTAGTGCATTTTAGGGACCATTCCCACATATATTTGGATCGATTTATCTCTCTCTGGGGAGTCTCACTAAATTGCTATCAACTTAACCGGCTTAAATGTCTGGCACGCCTAGTAAAGCTGTTAGGGGGTTATTATCTTTAGCCCCTAGCTGTTTTGATAGGTGTGACAGACATTTAAGCCGGTTATGTTTATGAGCACAGCAGACTCAGATATATCAAAACTGGAAGAAGGTGATTATAAGCCTTTGAACTTGAATAATTTGAACTATAATCATGTGTTTTCCCTAGTTGCCCCCTTTGCTAAGATTTTGAATATAACAGCAGTGTTTGACCTTCGTTTGAATTAGCACAGGCCAATTTGGCCAGTGAGTTTTGCAAGTTACAGGCCAAACTGAAAATGTATAAGCCAGACTTTGGCCTGTTTTATTAAGAAGTTACCAGCCAAATATTCAAAGTGCAGGCCATGTGGTAATGACTGATGGTTGAGATGTTATCAGGTACCAATGCTGCATAGTTAGTCATACATCACATGCAAATAAAGATAAAATTAAAAACTGTTTTGATCAATCGTGTTACTCATTTTAGGCTCTGATTTTGATGAAAATTTCAGGAACTGTCAGAAGTGGGCCAAGGAACAGATGATTAGTTTTTGGTGGTGATCCCGATCAATAATCAACAATAATACAGGGGCGGATTTAGGCCGTCTTCTGGGTCTTGCGGAAGACGGTCAGATTTTCAAGTTTACATTGACGGGTATCTGATTTTTTCTGTCGAAAGACGGTCAAAAATGGAGGATGGATCAACAAAAATAATTTGGAAGACTGGCAGAAATATGTCTGGATCCGCCCCTGTAATAAAAAAAATGCTGCCTTGGCGGAGGTCTGCGCTCTCAGAGTGCTTTTCTAGTTTAATATGGATTAATCTGGGTTAGCTCCTATAATGAAATGTAGATCTTATTAAAAGCTTACATAAATCACACATATTAATTTGAAGATTGAGCATTTTATTTTTATTTTTTAACATTAAAATCTGGCAAGTTTATGAATAAATGTGATAATTTTGATAGCATTATTCACATTGTCTTAACTACGATAACAGTAATTTTCCCTATCACACTTATATGTAACCTTGACCTTACTTAAATTATTTTATTTTAGTGTCTTTAATGTTCTGTTCAAAATTTATGTTCACCATACAGTATCCTCTAAATCCACTGTAAATGTTATCCCAAAAAAGTAAATGGCCCCTGAGACCATTTCACATGATTTTTTTCTGATCTCTTATTCCATGTACATCTGTACCTCGAAGGTCTGATTTTTATACAACTTGTTTTTCGATTATTTGGCTTTCAGCCAGAAAACTTAGCGAATTGATCTATTAGCAAGTGGCTACTTTGCAATGCATGTTTTGGTCCCATCTAACAAAATAGCACCGTTTCTTACCATAGCTCCCATTATTTCTACACAAAACAAATACAGGTAAGGCAAAATTTCTTCTCTACATCCAAAATACACCTTGAAAAAAGATTATGCTTTTCCACCTTGAATCACCC